AGGCATGATGCAGGGAATCATCAAAGAAGAGCTAGAGTGGTTCATTTGCATAAAGCGAGCATTTATAAACAGAAGTTGAAAGATTAAACAGTTATAATACTTAATTAATATTAACTATCCACTGTCCAATGCTATCCCATGTTGCAACAGGCCCAACCATCCACCTAAACTATCCAATTTCAAAAGATTACACTAGGGTGAGACTAATCACGGTGAATCTGGTTGACCGCCCATAACCGCGGGCACGGCTATTCGAATAGTTTTACTCTGATCAGAGGTGTACAACTGTACCCACAAGACACAGCCCCACGACACGTTTCCGTGCGCCGACATGCCACCACGACATACCGGAAAGAGACCGTGACAGGACCATTCGCATAACCCCCCTCTAACCAAGCACACCACACCTCAGGTTTCACCCCCACTCCTCGCAAGGCAGCGGGCAGTCCCCTCTCGTGCCTAGGTGAATCCGGAAGCCGCATAGGCCGTCGCAGGGCCCATCCAAACTCCATCACGTCCACCCTTGCCTGGATGCGTCGGCTAGAGGAAAGCTACGCTACAAGCCCAGCCGTTGCCCACGCTGGCTTGTGGTAAGTACGATAAGTTCTTCTAGGGCATCCCGCGAACCGGTCCTTAACTGCCATGGGTGCGACCAGCAAAACCATACACCCACAGCCCACCATGTGATTTATTTTAATTAACCAACACCAAAGCGGTGGCACTAATCCAACAAAACCATTAGAACCAACAGTCTAAACATTAATAAGATCTTCCCCATTGTGAACTAGTTGAACTAAGCATGGCTAAGCAATCCCTAGTCCAAACTCTAATCATGTTATAACCCCAAGCTGACAAAGAGACATGGTTCAACAACAGCATGGCTATGACAATAGGTAAACATCCCATAGTAACATTATAAAATAATGCAATATTTGAAAGAAAACAACAGAGCATTTGCAATATAGGATCAACATGTTCAAGTGACAAGCATGACTTGCCTTGCTCTGCTGCTGGAGGAACCTCGGCGACTATTTCGAAGTACACCGGAGCGTCGGAGGAACCGGAATCTAGCGACATACAAGACAAACATTGCAAACAGGCTATAAGACTACTGAAACAGGGAACAAAACCATTTTTAATGGATTCTACATATTTTTCTTGATTTACTGAGACTTGAATGGGCTTAAACGGAGCTCGGATGAATTAATTATGAATTTTAGAAGATTCACTGTGTTTATTACTATAACAAAAATCCTTAAATATTTTATTGCGCAATATTTTCTAGGGTTGACGTCAGCACGGGGGAGGTGCGGCGCCGACATGCGGGGCCCACTGGTCAGCGGCTCAGGGGAGAGCGGTTCACCGTGGACCGGGACCACGCGGGTGGTCCACCGCCGGTCCACGGAACCGACGGCCCAGATCGCCCTCGGGGCCGATCGGACGGGCGGCGATAGAGGCGGCCGCCGGGCTCGGCTCGGCATCAAAGCCGACCGGCCGGCCAGGGCTAATGGCGGCGGCACGCGCGCGTCGCGTTGCCGGCAACGGCATCCGGCGGCGGAGGCGACGGCGCAAAAGCGACGCGAAAGCGGCGGCAGCGGACGGTGGCAACGACCGAAGGCGACGGCGAGCGCGGGCGGCGGCGACGCACGGGGAATTGGGGAAGAAAAGGAAAGGGGAGGGAGTCCTCACCGGAGGGGACGGCGGCGTCCGGCGACGAGGAGCGACGGAGGGAGGTCGACACGCGGCGGACGGCGACCGGGACGACCTAAAGAACGAAAAGAAAGAGATTAGAGAGGAAGAGAGGGGCCATAGGAGACGGGAATGCCGGCCGAAAGCGGCGGACATGGCGACCCTCACCGTCGCACGATGGGAATGGCGCTCCGGCGGCGAACCTCGACGAAAGAGGGGTGGACGGGGTGGATCTCGGCCACGCGGAACCGACGGCGGCGACGGCGCGGTGCGGCGGCGACCCCAGCGGCGGCTAGTAGCGGCCGGAGTAGCGGAAACGGCGGCGGCAAGAGGTTGCACGGCGCGGGAGCGATGGGAGGCTCGGGAGAGTTCGGCGAAATGGGGAAAAAGCGAGAGGGTGCGACGGAGAAGCTTAAATAGGGAGAGAGGGGGCCAGACGTGGCCAAGAGAGGCGGGAATCGCCGGCCGACGTGGGGAAGTGGGGAAGGAGAGAGAGGCGGGATTCGAAAATCGAATCCCGGCCATCTCGGGCGCGGGCGCGGGCGGGAGAGAGAGGGGAGTGGGCGCGGGGAACGCGGCGCACGCGCGGGCGTGGTCGACGTGGCCCGAAGGAGGCGGAGACGTGGGCGCGGCGACGGTTGCGGGCGCGGCGGCGCGGCGGGAGCGGCGGGAGGTGGGGGAAGGACCCGACAGGTGGGCCCCACCTGTCGGCGACCCCAGGAGAGGAGGGCGGCGGGGCGGCCTGGCTGGGCCTCGGCCTGCGGCCGGCCTGGGAGGAAAGGAGAGAATGGGCCAGCGGCCCATTCGAAAAAAGGAGGAAAAAGGGAGGAAAAAGAAAAAAGAAAAAGGAAAAAGGATTTTCCCTGGAATTAAAATATTGCATGCTCAATTTTAATTGGTTAAAATTATTTCTAGAGCTCTGAAAATTCCACTAAAAATCCTGTTAGTGAATTTCGGCATGTAGAACTCAAGAAAAATTCCACATGCCAATTCCGATTATTATTTGCATTGATTTAAAAGGGTTTACTCTTGCTTTGCACCTGTATTTTCTTGGGGTCATTTATAAATTAAATTTTAGGCTTGGGAGGAGAACTTCGGGGTGTGACAAGCTCCACCTGGAAAAGGCGAAGGATCTCAGGCAACAGTACGTTGCACGGAAACCGAAGCCCTGCCTTGAAGAACATGGCGAATACAACCGTCCGGTTGTCGCCGGGCTTCGGCACCACGGCCTTCCCCGGGGCGAAAGCTTGCCCCTCCACCACCGCGCCAGAGCTGACCAACTTTGCCAACTCGTCCTTATCCACAAGTGAAACCCCTAAAAAGGCGGTGTTGTCATTGTCGATCTGGCCGGGATCGCGGCCCGTCGCGGAGGCCGGATTCGGTTTGCGGGGAGCCATGGCGAGAAGCATGCGCTGTGGCAAAAAGGGTGAACGGGCGAACGACCTAGCGACTCTAAGGGCGCTGTGAAGAAAAGAGAGAGAAAGAGAGTGATCTTGCGGTGAAAATGACGGGGGAGCGGCGGTGAAAAAGGGGAAGGGGAGATATATATAGCCCACCCAGGCAACAGTTCACCTTCCACCCAACCACGAGCCGCCGCGTGTCATAAGGGTAGGCGAAATGGTAAATTCCCATTGACCAGGCCGCACAGTGACAAGCCCACGAAGGAAAGCCCATCACTGTTCAACCCGGCCCAGCGAAAGAATAATACCAACTTCGCCGATTCGCAGAGTGTGAAAGCTGTAACACATTACTAACCACAGGAATAATGTATGCGCAGTGCACACATCCTTTACAGGATTCCAAGACAGGTTTCGGTAGGAGCATCGGTCAAAAGGGGGCGTCTCATACCATACCACATAGTTTGCATGGTCTCGGCCGAAGCTCCTATCTCACCCTTGCCCGTGAGGGGCTTGTTGGCAGTATGTCATGAGACCCTTCGACCAGACCTGCCGAAACCGTGCGACCAGTCAGGATTCAGGCTCAAGGTGTTAAGTTCATCGGGGCGAAGCCCCATGGTGAAAGCGGTGAAGCCACATGGCGAAGACAATGGAACGAGGACGGCAAAAGATGGAGCCCCATGGCGAAGACTGTACATCCTGGGCGAAGGGTGCCCGCCGAAGGAGGGTGACTTCGCCATCCTGGCCGCTTTGGCCGGCCTTTGGGCCGGCATTCGCCAACCAGGCCCATTAGAGGCCCATGTATGCCAATGACACTGTATACCCATGTAAATGTCCCTTTCACAAGGGCAACCATGTAAATTCCCCTGTAAAACCTAAACCCTAATAGGGGGGCCTGTAACAAGGATATAAATAGACCCCTAGGGCCATGTAAAGGGGATCCCAAGAAAAATTCTCAATCTAATACACTTTACTGTTTTCCAACCATCGTTGAGTAACCACATCCTTCGACGTATACAGTTGTTATTTCGACAACACTCTATAAATACCATCTGCGGGTATAGCCCATCATATAAAAACACTATTTATCATATATATAAAAAAAGGTTATCATGAGCAAATATTCGTTTGAACAAATTCAACACAATATAATAATAGATTTAACATGGTCACGCCCATACAAAACCGAAGCATCCACGCTAGTTCAATATATATTACTAAGCTAACATGTTCACAGGTCCATGATAACATTTTTTTTAGATATAATAAATAATATATTTTTCATATGTTTGTATATAATTTCTCTCATATTCTAACGAATATTTGCCCATAATAATTTCTCCCATATGATAAATAGTATTACTTTGATTTGACCTAGGGGTAAAAGAGTCATATTAAGTCTCATTTCATACTTGCAAAGCTGACATTTCATTTTAATTAGGTAAATTTGGTAATTTATAAAGAGTAGCTCTCTCTGCTGTGGCATTTATATAAAGAAATTTGGAAGAGTGTCTTAGTGTCTTTCCGTAAGAGCGGTGAATACTTAAAAACCCCTGGGGGGGGCAGCATGAACCCTGCCCTCCCAGGCTACTGCTACCTTGCTGACGCAAAAGGATGGAGATATTTTGATGATTTAATCAACAAATAGGGACAAAACTATTTTAATTGAAAGAAAATAATATTACGGTTAAGTCCCCAGTTGAGTGATATTCGTGGCGAAGTCTCATTTTGATAATAGTAGAATGTCAATTCTCTCCATCAAAGCGAGGGTTGATGAGAAGACACTCGTAAGAAAATTACCCTCTTCAAATATTTGAACGTATCATTGTGATTTGTGAATGTCACGGCAAAAAATCCATAATGGTGATTTTGTTTCCATTCTTATTATCGGCAATAAATGTAGGTGAACAGTAGTATGAGAAATAAAATCCATGAGATAGAATATAGTCTCGGATTACAGGTTTCATCTAATGCTAAATAAGTTAACCACAAGACTATTCGAAATTACACTGTATTCCATATAGTATTCCGAATATTCCAAATTGTGCCTACTAATGCGGAAATGTTTTTGGCAGAGGCAATGATTATATGAAACCAAACATTTCATTCCCATTAGTAATTACACTCTATTCCGTAGAGTATTCTGAATATCCCTAATTGTACCCACTAATGCAGAAATGTTTCTGGCAGTAAGATGATATGAAAGTGAACAATTCATCCCCACCAGTTCTCCATTCTTGTTGATCACCGGAGTCCCGAACTCTGCCGAAACACTCACCGCGCAGTTGTGCGAGAACTCATGTCCATTCAATGTCCTGAGCACAAACAAAATCAGCATTTTATTATTATATAGACGACTATTGCTGTAGCTTATTTACTTGATTATATGGATAATAAATCAAATATTTTGAAAAATAAACTTAACAAATATTAGTTTAAAACAAGTGGTTAAGCAATGAAATAGAAGTTTTTTTTGAGAGAACGTATTTTTCAAAGCACGAAGCAAATAATCTGCTGATTAAGCTGAAAATGACAGGGATGATATACATACATATGTGTGACATTTCCTGGAATTAGTTGCCCATATAAGCCATTATATACATACACTGCTTCGGACATCTGAAGCGGCTGATTGCACATTTCGACCCTCTTAAAAAGATCGGTATTGAACTTTTCATCACCCGGACAGCAATAGATTCCAACCAATCCATTTGTAATATTACAGTGCTTGGGAAGGGGTTTTATGCATTGTTCCCCCGGAAAGTCAACCGTGATTTTATCAGCTGCAATATTTCCCTCAAACGCACGAGCATCTGCTACAATATATGCATAGGTCGGATCACACTCCACAATAATACCATTTTGCCGAATAGTTCTTTCTGGAGTTTTTTCGATGGCAATGTTCACCACACTTCTATAAATGCCATTATACACCTGGGGCACAAACAGACAATTTATGTACTTATGTAGTGACCCGTCAAATTAGATAATACGGTACTGTAGTAGGCACTAGTTGCTCAGGATGCTCAGTTCTCTGTGTGTTTGTGTGTGTGTGTGTGTTGGGGGGGGGGGGTAGCCAAGGCACCATAGAAACACTTGCCGATTCCGTGATTCTGGGATCCACCTGACTTAAGCATAAATCTACTAATCTAAAGCCGACAGTTTTGCTGGCATCCTATTTGTCCATTTGGCACTACAAATTGCAAGAGATTTGGTGAAATCATGTCTCTCGCACTTGGTCACTCTAGATCAATCCGGAAGGTGGAACGACATATTGACCATTGGAAAAAAAAACATAGAGAGAAAGAAGGCAGGCCCTGGCTGCTCTCTCTACTAGGACCGTATGGCCCAATATACACATATGGGCTTATTGCGCATGGACGGAAAAAGAAGAAAAAACAAAAGAACATAACGCATAAAATCATTCGACAAATAAGATATACTACAGGTAAAGATGGTAGATAAATACGATATAATATGGGTTAATTTCAGAAATTGAGACAAGTATGATGACTATATTTATAATATACTACGCTCTCCGTCCCTAAATATAGCAACTTCTACTAATGTATTTGGACATGGCCAATGTGCTATATTTTGGGAAGGAGAGAGTATATTTCTAGAAAGAAACAATAAACAACAAAATTAAATGATATAAATTATGTAACAATATTGTATCAAACTTTGCATTCCTAAAAATCCTTTTTTAAGAATATTTAGTTTCCGATAGATTCTCATACATATAGAAAAGTACAAATCACAGCAATTTCGAGATACCATATCCTTCCTTTTATTTTTACTAATAGTATATATAGTTATTTGTCAAACTTAAAGAGACTCAATCCAACAAAATTAATGGCAAGCATATATTATTATTACTATGTTATTTTGATTTACAATCCATTAACACGTCTTTTTAGTGTATACTTTCTGTAGGAATTAAACTAAGTTAGATAGTAACAAAAATAACTAACCCATGTAAAAATTATACAAATTATTTTCTGTGCTATAGAAGAGCTCTAAATAATATGCAAGGGCCATAAACTAACCGGCGCCAACTGGGGCGTCTATTTTTCTAGTAAATGAGTAAACACTCACCGGATCTGGCGCCGGATCCATAGGAGGCGGGCTAGAGGCGGAGGTGCTGGAAGCGCAAGGGAACGACGGCGTGGAGCGAGAGACTTCGTTGGAGGCGGTAGGGGCCCAGCGCCTCCGCCGCGCAGCCAGTCACTAGGCCGCACCAGATCCAGACATGGATGGATGGAGACGAATGAGGAGGGAACAGTTGACGAGCGCGTGCCCAGACTCCGCCTTGGCCTGCGCCCACTCTGGGCTGGGCACCGCCGACCGGCCGCCTGCTCGCCGCGAGGGGGGAGCTAGCAAAGGGAGACGACGAGACGAGAGAAGAGGCGGCGGCGCTCGGTTCAGGGGCGAGGGAGAGAGTGTAGTGTGCGTGTGCGTGTGCGTGTGCGCTGGTCTGGTGGGCTTCGAGGAGGGAGGGTACCACGGACTGTTTAGGGCTTGTGGGCTGGTCGTTTAGTGCTACTTACTAGGAATAAGTCTATTTTGCCTCCCACAAGTCTTGCTCTTGGATGAATCTCACCCCTCAACCGTAAAACCGGGTATAACGCATCCCCCAACTTCTAAAACCGATGCAAATAGAGTCCCTTGGTGATTTTAATAGCGGTGTCATCATACGTGGCACTTACGTGGCGGGTTGACTTAATCTTTATCCCATGTAGTATTGACGTGACACTAAAAATAAAAAACCTAGATAGCATCCACATGTTAGTGAGTAAAACAATAAAAATAAATATCAGACCCACGTATCAGTTACCCTTTCTTTCTCTCAGGTCTTCGCCTCTTCCCTGCGAGTGACAGGGGATAGATGCCAGGAGGGAGCACCGTCTTGGCGTTGTCCGTCCCGTCGAGAGGGCGGCATATAACACACGGCCACGGCGCTCCTCGAAGTCCAGCCGGCGGCGACGTTCCCGTGGACTGCGGGATGAGCTGGCGTCTCAGAAGGTGGTGCTCGCCGAGATGGCGCAGGAAGTGGGCCTTCCCACCAGTGAGTGCATCTAGTGTATCATCTCGACGGTTATTGTCGGGAGGTCCTCCTTGGGGATGCTAGTGTGCTCCCCAACATTATTGTATTCAACACCTTGCTCATGGGCTTTCTCGAGGACAACAAACACTAAGCCGTTTTCTGACGTTGTTAGCAAACTGAGCTCACAAACACTAAACCATTCCCGAATCTTTTTTCTGCTAGCTCAAGAACAGTAAAAGAAAACGATTTTTTAATCTGCATCTTGGGGTTCTTGCAGATTCTTGGGATGACGGAGCGACGCAAGGCCCGGGAGGGCACCGCCACCTACTTGTCGTCGCACCACTGGATCAGGAGAGGGCTATCGCCAAACATTGCCTATGCCCATCGACCTCCTTGCCGCTGCCACCAAATCTGCTTCGCTGCCCTTGCTGCGGGCCTGCGTCGTAGTGACGAGCATGCCACCACTTAGAGTCAATGACGCATAGGCCATCATGTATATGTGACATATATGAGTACAGCGGTAAATTATTAATTACCACTTATAGGAGTGACAAATAATTAAATATCTCAAATTTAAGAGTTAAAACTCTATCAAACATACTCTTATCTCATTACGTTTTGTTCCGTACCTAGACAAGGCACGGCCAATCCTGTCCATCCGATCTTCGAATCAAATAGACCAGATCTCCTCGACGCAATCCCCTTGATCCGTGCCTCCACGCCTCTCCCGAGGGTACGCCTAATGGGCGATCGATCGCCCTGGGGATGGGGTAGCGATCAGATTCGCTCCCCACCTCCCCCTCTCTCCCTTCACCTGGTTTTCTTTTTTTGGCACCGCATTACTTTTCTATTTTAGTAAATTTATATACCTAAAGTTTATACACCTCAAGTTTACACATCTAAACTTTAGAGACCAAAAGTTTATAAGTCAAAAGTTTATATATCCGATTTAAATTTGAATTTGAATTCAAATATTTTTTATATATAGTATTTCTATACATCTAAAGTTTATACACCTAAAATTTATAGACCTAAAGTTTATATACCCGATTTAAATTTGAATTTGAATTGAAATATTTTCTATATATAGTATTTCTATACATCTAAAGTTTATACTCCTAAAGTTTATAGACCTAAAGTTTATATACCTGTTTCAAATTTGAATTTGAATTATATCTGATTCAAATTTGAATTTGAATTGAAATATTTTCTATATATAGCATTTCTATACATATAAAGTTTATAGACCTAAAGTTTATATACCCGTTTCAAATTTGAATTTGAATTATATCCGATTCAAATTTGAATTTGAATTCAAATATTTTCTATATATAGTATTTCTATACATATAAAGTTTATAGACCCAAAGTTTACATATCCGATTCAAATTTGAATTTGAATTCAATTTTTTTATATATAGTATTTCTATACATAAATTTTTCTAACTTTTTGTTTTTTTAAAAAAAATTGTGGAGATGTGTAAACTTGAGGTGTACAAACTTTAGATGCATAAATTTACTAAAATAGGAAAGTAATGCGGTGCTAAAAAAAAAAAAAGAAAACTAGGTGGAGAAAGAGAATCAGATCTGATCGCCCCTAGCGAGGTAGCATTCTCGCTCCCCCGAGGCCCCGACGCGCATCGCTCCGCATCCGGACTTTGTCCCCAGTCCCCATCCCACACACTCTCATCCCGCCGCCTCCGCCACTTTCGCGACGCACCGACTACGCGTCCCCTCCATGTCGCGCCCACGCCTCCGTAGCGTCCCTGGCGGCCCCTCCACACGCCGGCGTGCGCCCCCGCCTTCTCCACCACCGTCTCCGCGCTCAAGGAGTTCATCCTCGCTCGGTGGCCGCAAGGTCAGGCAGGAGATTCTTGATAGAGTAGATGGATTTTGTCACCTGATCTGCTGCATATTTGATTTGATGAAAACACTAGGGCTTGTGACCTGATCTGCCGTCGTTTTTCTCGCCTGGTGTTTGTGTGGGCGTTTCTTTCCCTCCCTGTTCCTACCCTCTCCTGTGGTTTTGCTCGTGTCCGATGACTGTTAAATCGGTAATTTATCCTTCTCTGAATGGACATTCTGACCAACTGAGTAGCGCGCAATTAGTCCTTCTCCCCGTAGCTTCAACAGTGTTCTAGAACTTGATAATTCCCCTTCTGAGTGTACTTGCATCATCCATAAAAAAAACCTTGACCTCGCGAATTTGGATATTGTATTGTGGGAAGAATATATGTGGCAGAGAACCGGAAAGACACATTTTAGGCAATGATTCGGAATTTCAGATCATAAATAAGTGCGATGATGGGCCAAACAAGAAACAATGTCGTCTTCCTTTGCCCTATGTAGAGTAAAGACGAATTAAATTTGAAAATATACTGTTCATACTTTTTTTTTCAGAAATATTCGTGATGAAAATCTTTTTGCAGAAATATACCGTCGATCTCACATAACCATTGAGCATGACGTCGTGGGCGGTATCGTGCAGGGAAAGCCGGTCTCGCTGATTGAAATAGCGATACCGGACTGCCACCGATTCAATTAGTGATTAATTATCATGATTAGCGATTAATTAATTAATTATTAATCACTAATCAGGATAATTAGTCACTAAATATTATTAGTTAATAGTTAATTAGGTAATTAATCACTAATTAAAAAGTGGAGATCATTGCATCAGTGAGACAGTGTCGCTGTTTCAATCAGCGAGACCGCTCTTCCGTTCCGCGAGACTGCGCGGTCTCGCCCTTTTGCGCAACGGTTGTGCGAGATCGATGGTATATTTCTGCAAAACAATTTGCATCCTGAATATTTCGAAAAAAAATGAATGAACAGTATATTTTCAAATTTAATTCGAGTAAAGACTCAAAGAAGATGGCACAATGCCATGTTTTATAACAGTATTATGCGCTTTTCGTGTACCTATTTGCTTTCCTACATTATCTGAAGGTAAGTTCTGCTAGCCCTATGGAACTAAACATATATTTGCTCCTTTGCGTCAATATGATTGCTGGGCCATTCGCAAGTAAACGACTAGTCGGCAACGATGAACTCTGGACACCAATTGCTAATGTATCATTTTTTTTGCGTGAAACCATCAGCATGGAAGTGATTATCATGATTTCAACCACAGCTGTATTTCTATTGACACTACCGAACACATGATTGATCTGGTTGTTTGTACACTTAAGCATAATGATCAGCAAGGGCCCCATTTATCTTCTCATGTGGGACACTGAAGTTACTGACAGGCAGCAGAATCTTTTGCATAGCTAATAGCAACCTTTTGTTTGTGTCATGGTCATTGGGCCGGAAGACAGAGGCCCATAGGCAGCCTATATCAATTAAGTTAGAGATATGATTATTAGTTCAGTTAGAGATAAGATTAGATCAGCCCATATCAATTAAGTTAGAGATAAGATTATTAGTTCAGTTAGATATAAGATTAGATTGAATCCTTACTTAGGGGTCAAGCTATACCATCTATATAAGGATGGGATTGTGTCTATTAGCATTAAACAACGAATATCAATTAGTCTAATCTCTCCCTCTCAACAGTGTTCTTCTCCCTAGCCTAAATCTACATCCCTTCTCCAGGAGCCGACGCTGCCCGGCTATCTTCCCGGCAGTGTTTATCCCGTCATGTACTCATGTCCTCGGGTCATGACAGTCTGGCTGATGTTTTGCCAAAAAAAGATGCTGATTATAAATGGGTGTCTGTTTACATTGATATCATTGGACCACTGATTTTCTGTATAACTGAGGAAATGTATAGATCAACAATTGTCAGAGAAAAAAAACTGACTATCACACTTAGACATGGGTTCTTTTCTTGATGTGCAATGCTTGGGTGAGGTGCTCCTGCCTGAGTAAACTAGACAAGTATCTGCAAACAAGATATTCCTCCTGCAGTACTTTTGCCCTCATTGACTGCACACACACTGAATTACAACTGGAAGTTTGAAAATGGTGCAATTTCTGTTTTTCTGAGACACTCGATTGATTATGAATGAGAATTAATGTTTTCTGGAGGTCCTCAGATTGACCTGCATTCAAGGGATCTTTTGTAATTTTGTAAAGATTTCACTTAATCATAATTCATACTTGTTATCCTTATTGGATTCCAAATTTATTTTATTCAAGGGATTGTTCTTGCCATTTTTATGACAGACAAGGAAATAACTCCAAAAACTGTCAATGACCTGAAGCTCATTAATGCCGGAAGGATATTGGAGAATAACCGGACACTTGTGGAGTCCCGTGTTCGAGTAGAAGTTCCAGGAGGTGTAATTACAATGCATGTGGTAGTCCACCCTCCACAATCCGACAAAAACAGTGGTATTGCCGCCAATTTGATCTGTCTTTTTTTACATTGTTTTCTTTTTGCACTGGGTCAATCAAATCAAAGGATTGGTTAAAATTTACATTT